TTTGAGAATTGCCTTGACACTTCCCATACTTTGTTCCCACCTTTCTTCTCCTCAAAATAAAATAGAGACTCTGCCTTTCTCCCCAAACAAGTTTATCATCTGACCCCACCTCATCTGGAAACTGGGAGAAAAGTTTTTGGGCAGGTTTTTCTTGGAGTTACTTTTGATTATTATTGACCAAGAAGGTGAGTAACCAGCTGAACAACAGAGACCTCACTATTTTTTTTTTTTTAGTACTATGCTCTAAGCTGACGCTAACATTTTTTTATTTTAAATGCACTGTGAGGTAAAGTATGCGTAAGTACTTTTCTTCTCTGCTCTCCACTCTTCAAGAGGGTAGGGCTTCAGGGGTGTTTCTGAAACTAAAGGTAAAGCTCTTTAGACAGATCTTTGAGGAGTCAGGCAGAAGACTTCTTTGAATACCTTTTCGAACTTCTTTCAGAAACGTTTTGCTTGTAGAATAATCAGAGACCAAGTACATGATCAGAACTTAATTCCTTACGGCTGAGTCAGCACTGACTCATGGCTGACCCTCCAGCAGGTTTTCAGAGGTTATAAATTGCATGGGAGGAGATTGTCCATCTTTGCCTCCTGGAACCCCTGATGGATTAGAACCACCTGTCTTTGAATGGGATGCACAGCTTTTTATCCACTGAGCCACCAGAGTGTCTGTATCTTCACATTAAAATTTCATGTATTTAAAAGATAATCAGCGTAGAGGACTCTCCTTCATAGGGTCCCTATGAGTTGCAGGGACTGGACAGCACTTAGCAACAATAACAAAAGATAATCACAAGAAGGTCCACTATCAGATCTAAATCTAATGAACCATGATTAACACTTAAAGGACTTGAAGAGAAGTTTGAGTCTTCACAGCTTAACAGTGACAACTCTACATTTTATACAGGGCTTTGCATCTGTTGTTACAGATCAACCTCGTCACTCTCTTTTCCTTCTGCTGTGGACCCCAGTCTGCTGTAGGTGAGATGTTAAATACAAGCCTGTCTCTGTCTGTCTGGAAGAGATTGATGAGACACTTGATATTTTCCAGACAGAGCCAAAGCTAATTTCATTGTCCCAGCTGGCATTCTGCGTTTACGTCTTCACGGTGGATGATACCATAGTAAATCAAATGTTCTTTTATCCTGGCTTTAAATATCTCATGGGACTGTGGAATGGGTTAGAATGTCTGTTTGCACTGTCCTTTTCCTCCCATCTCTGTGACTTGGGAAATTCTGACCAGTGAGGAGATCGCATTGAAATAGTGCTGGTAGTAAAAGCATTAGCATCTTGGCTAATCATTGCTGGTGAACTGATTCATTAGAAGCTTTTGGGTGGCTCGGATTGTGCCTGTTACCCTGGGAGAAAATTAGCCAGACATCATAGCAGGGACAGTGTTGTAAATTTTCTTTTGTTCCCTTAACTTTTTTGAAAGCACATTCTTTCAAAGATGGGGCAGTAGTTAGAATCATGTGATTGCATAGCTAACAAGTGTCAGGTTGTACTTAAGCTTTTATGTGGCATGTCTTCTGCAAAGCACAATATTCAAAAAGAATTACATCCTTTTGGGGCTTTGGGATTAGAAAATAGTGATGTTGCACAACCTCTGAATAGATACCCTTTCTCACTAGTCCTATTTCTACATTTTCATTGTGAGGTTTAATGGCACATCTGTGCATATACTTATGCAGCACTGAATGAGTTATTGCTTTCTAGGTTGGAAACGTTTTTTTCGATTATCATCATCCCTATGAAGGATTACTTACAAACAAATCAGCATATCCATATCTGGAATTGAAAGTATATTGGAGGATTAACAACTCTTCTAAAAATGGGATATCTTATGTATAAGAATATTTAAAAATATGTAAGGATAAACTGCCAAAATTACCTGTACCATCTTGAAATAAGAAGAGTTCAAATGTAACTATAAACTGTAATTGACAATGAGTCATTTGCTTTGGGGATGCCAACTATGAAAACAGCCTAGTTATGCCCTTAATGATAATTATGAAAACTCCTTTTAAAAGCCAGTTGGATCTCAAGTAAACTATAAACCTACTTGGGTAAAATCTTCATTTCTATGTGTTTAAAAAAATTAGTAGTTGAAAATGTCATTTTATACTCACATACTGATAATTTTCAAAACTTAAGTATTTGAATGTTTCATTCAAAACATTTTTTTCCATGTCATATAGATACTCAATATACAATCACTGAGATTGTATAAAAACAAGATTGATAAAACAAGACAGTTCTCACTAACCTCATCATTTATAGAGTAGGCAGAGGAAATGTAGAGTTTGTTTCTAACAGCCTGGGGTAATTTGGAATTTTGTTTATAAACTTAATATATATTTTAAAGCAAATATATTGAAAATAAAGAAAAATACACACACACAATTATCAGTTCATTTTTGCTGTTGATAATAATTATACCCATAAGCCTTTTGGTAGGGATTTTACTTATGTTGACTTACTGTTTTACAAACCAATAAAAGATTGGATGGTAAATATGCTCATGGGTAAGGATACTAAAAGATGGATTAAATAATCCAGATCAGTCACCCTTAGGGTATTGCAGAGCTGGTATCTCTGAAAGAACAGTCCAGAATCACCACCTCTTTACTCCACTTCAGTCCTTCCCTCATGTATGATACATAATATCTGAATGTTTATTTCTGGGTAATAATATGCTTTTGTTTGATTAGTATGGCTTTTGATAAATGATGCTCTAAAAGAGCATCTAAAAGAACTAGTATACTCAGAAGTGCAGTAAAAACTCCTACATATGCTTAGTGAAATGGGAGAAACTGCTCTTTTTCATATTTCTACCTTATCTAGACACTTGTTTTTTAGCTTGTATGGAGTCTCCTCCTTTGTTCCCTGGTTAGCTGTTTTCATGTCTAAAGAGATGTAGCTGTTCTGATCCCTGTCTTTTCCATCAACAAAGCAACATCAAACAATTTTTTTTAAATAAAAGCACACGCTACTAAAATAAATTATTGACTGTTAAAGACATGTGGTAGGTCTGACATGGATAGGGTTCCCTTGTGTGTGTCTTTGTGAATAGTCTAGTAGAAGAGGGGCTTGTGAGGAAAGCTCTGGTGGTCCCAGAAGGGTAGTTTGGTCCTTTGATGGCGCATGAGGCAGACAGAGCCCATCTATATTTTCCCCCTGTGGGGGTTAGTGGGAAGGTGCTCCCCCAGCTTTGGCACATGCCTTCATATTATGGGATTCGGTGTAACTACATGAATCTGAAGAAGTGGACTTGATCCCACTATCTCCAGCAGGAGAGACTTCCTTGGAATATATTTATCTGATTAGTAATTTTTCGGTCCTGTTGAGTTGGTTCTGACTCATAGACTCTACGTGCTCTAGAACGAAGCACAGCCCAGCCCCATACCATCTTCACAGTCATGATTGTGCCTGAGCCCATGGTTGTGCCCACTAGGATCTGTCCATCTCATTGAGGGCTGCCTTCTTTTCCCTCCTACTTTGCCCACCACCATGTCCTACAAAGGCTGGCCTCTCCTAATAATAGATCCAAAGTATGTAAGATGAAGTCCATCCTTGCCTCCAAGGAACATTTTAGCTGCACTTTTTCCAAGACACATTTGCTTGTTCTTTGGCAGTCCATGGTATAATCATCATTCTTTGTCAACATCACAATTCAGCAGTATTAGTGTTTTTGCCTTACTTATTTGTTGTCCAACTTTCATCTGTACACGAGACACCTGAAAATACCATGACTTGGGTGAGTCACACCTCAAAGTGACATCTTTGCTCTTCAGCACTTAAAAGAGGTCTTTGACTGCAGAGTTGTTTCGAGCACTACGATGCTGGTTTCTTAAATGCTTCTTCCTTGGGTATTGGTTGTGGATCCAAGCAAAATGAAATTCTTGACAATGTCAGTATTTTCTTTGTTCATCATGATGTTGCTGATTGGTCCAGTGTGAGGATATTAAAAGATGTGAAATTATTAAATGTGTCCTACTGATTGTATCAAAACGTTCTCATCTTATTTCACTCAAAAAACTTTCCATTACTGAAAACACATAGTTTCAAGGAAAGATTCAAAGCAGGAAAATACTTTGGTTGTGAAAGGTCAACTATAGAGTCACAATGATAACTTTGTGTGATAATAGAGGCCTTCTAAGGTATCTCAGCCTCTTGACTCTACAAATGAGAAAACTGACATCTGGGGGAGGCAAAGGGATTCTTCTAAAATGGAAGACATAAAGCTTCATTTGCAGATGGTAATCTTCACATCTGGTGTTCTTTTCTGGAGCTGAAGGAAGCCACATGACCAGTTAGAGCAAAAACATGGTGGCCTTAACTCTGGCTGGGGAAATGATTAAGGCCATTAATTTATCTTCATGCTAACAAGATGGAAGATGCCCTTTGACCCACTGATGATAAGGGACCATGTCTGTACTGGCATGGTCACCCATGCTGGACACTTCAGCAATTGGGGCATCTTTCTCTAGGGCTGGACATCATTACCCAGAGGAAAGGAACCAGCTAGTGAGCAAGCCGTTTATTCATAAATGAAGAATTCTTGCCCTGTAGTGGGGCTCTCAATGAATGTTTCATTGTTTAAGAACAATAAACATGCTTTATTGTTTATGAAGAGGTTTTTAAAATGGATTTATTGTTATTTCTTTGACAGCATTTCCCGGTAGTTAAACTTGATTGATATTTAGGAAAGTATTGGTCCCTTTTCATGTACTTTGGAATGTGTTGCCCCTCATTGATTTGAATGTTTAACTGTCAATACAGGAGGCCTTTAGAGTTGCCACTCATGGGTTAAGCCATGCTGACTTTCCCTGTACTGATTTCAGACTTGCTGCTTCTTTGTAGGTTTGGAAGATGGCATGAAGCACAGTTCCTTCTTCCATGACGGCAGACTCTTGCGGGGAAAAAGTATGACACCAGTTTGATGTCAGTGTCTGCTTTCCCGAGGTCAAGAAGGTATCTCCTTAGAAGGCCACAGGACTATGCATGTTATGAATTGTGTCTCCGTGGTCAGTGATAAAGACAACGGGAATGTCGCCCCAGCTGCTGGATTAATGATCGGGCACACGCCACCCGCAGCGTCTCCTCCACCTCCTCCTCCGCCCCCTCCACCCCCACC